AATATATATATATATATATATATATATATATATATATATATATATATATATATATATATATATATATACACACACACAATATAATAATAGTGCAATAACGGAAACAGAGATAAAAACAACTACAAGGAAATACCCCTCACAGCAAGATAAATAATTGGGATCTCTTGGTATCCTCAATATACACTCTAGGGATCTCTTGGTATCCCGAGGATCTCTTGGTATCCTTAATACATATGCCAGAGATATCTTGGTATCTCGACGATCTCTTGGTATCCTCAATACACGTGCCAGGGATCTCTTAGTATCCTGCACCTAAAACCAGACCATATTACGCACAGGGGATCTCCCGGGATGCCGTCCCGTAGTCCCAATTTAAAACACACAACAATAGCTCAAGGACATCAAAATAAATACTAAGTCCGTAATGAGTAAACAGTAAATTCTAGCCTAACATGCTTCACGTAATGCAATTAAGGCACTTTAAACAAATAGGCAATTAATTCAACTAATCATACTCTTCTAAACTAACACAGGCTATATTTGCATGTAGAATAAAGCAAGTAACAAAAGAACTCAGTTTAAGTACTTAAAGTAAAACCGGATTTTTTAACAATTAGCTCAAGTACGCGCTCGTCACCTCACGTACAAGGCATTCAATTACCAAATATCATATCCTAAGGGGAGAGGGTCCCCCACACAAGGTTAGACAAGCCACTTACCTCGAACCGACTCCAAAATCAACTCGAAACCACACGTTTGCCACGAGTATCCGACTCCAAATCGAAGCTAATACGCGAAATTATGTAAAATGACCAAAATGCCCCTCAGGCCAACGTCTCGAATCGGGTGAAATTTATATTTTCAAAAACCTCGTACTCTCACGAGTCTATACATAACAAGAACACTAAAATTGGAGTCCAAATGACCCCTCAAATCCCCAATTAAAGGTCTCTTAAACTCAAGCCCTAGTTACCCCCTTTCCCCAAATTTCTCACCATTAATTAGGCCTTTAATCACATAAAAACGAGTTATGAAGTCAAGGACATTACCTCCAAGTGATTCCCCTTTGATTTCCTCAAAAACCCCTCTCAAAAGCTCCAAACCCGGATGAAAATGGTGGAAGAATAGCCAATTTTCGCAAAGGCAACTATTTATATGATCTGCCCAGCTACTTCCGCATTTGCAGCCCTGGGACCGCATCTGCGGTCCCGCTTCTACGGACAAATAGTCGCACCTGCGATTTTCATTAGATGGCCAAGCTTCCGCATCTGCGGTCCTTCACTCGCAGATGCGGTTCCGCTTCTGCGGAAGGTCCACCGCATCTGCGGAACCTGAAGAACCAACCAAAATCCGCTTCTGCGGTCTCCTTAGCCGCATCTGCGGCGCCGCATCAGACCGCAGATGCGAAAATATCAGAAGCAGCAAAAATCTGCAATCTCTTAACTTCAAAATCTTTCCGTCAACAATCCGAAATCATCCCGAGGCCCCCAGGACCTCAACCAAAAGCACCAATAACACCTAATACCTCATTCAAACTTGCACCAATCCTTAAACCACCTAAAACAACGTCAGAAACTCGAATTAATCAAGGATTTAAGCCTAAGAACCCCAAATTTCCTCAAAATACGCTTTCGATCAAAAATCCAACCAAACCACTTCCGAATGACCTGAAATTTTGCACACACATCCTAAATAACATAACAAAGCTACAGCAACTCTCAAAATTGCATTCCGACCCTCGGATCAAAATCTCACTATCGAACCGGAAACTTCAAAATTCGAACTTTCGGCATTTCAAGCCTAAATTAGCTACGGACCTCCAAAACACAATCCGACCACGACCCTAAACCCGAAATCACCTAACGGAGCTAACAGAACCATCGCATTTCCATTCCGAGGTCGTCTTTATACTGTTCCGACTACGGACTACTTTCCAACACTTAAGCTCTCATTTAGGGACTAAGTATCCCAAAACTCTCCGAAACTCAAAACCGAACATCCCGGCAAGTCAAAATAGCAGAAATAAACTTGGGGAAAGCAGTTAATAGGGAGATGGGGCGTAAATTCCAAAAACGACCGGCCGGGTCGTTACACATTCTCAACCGATGCCTCATAAGACCCATTCTGAAGAAGACTCCTTATGAATTATGGAAAGGTAAACGACCCAATCTTGGAAAATTCGATCCAAGAAGTGACGAAGGTATTTTTCTGGGTTATTCATTAAATAGTGATCCTTTAGAGTCTATAATAAACGCACACTATGTGTAGAAGAATCAGTACATGTTATCTTTGATGAAAATAACACTCCGACCGAGAAAGGAATTATTGCAAGTGATGAAGATCAAATTCAAGAAATTCAGGAGACAAGCAAATCTCAAGAGTCGACTAATAAACCTGATGGTGTAATGGAGTCAACTATTGAGATTATCAACAGTCAATCGGAATCTCCGAAGGAGTCAACTACCCACACAAATACAATTCGTCCAAATGAATGGAGAAGTGAACCAGAATATCCTCAAAAGTTTATCATAGGAGACCCAAACGAAGGAATGAAAACCAGGGGAGCTCTCAAGAAGAAAGCAAACATAGCACTGATTTCACCAAAGAAAATAGAGCAAGCTCTGAAAGATTCAAGATAGTTACAAGCAATGCAGGAAGAGCTAGACCAATTTGACAAAAATCAAGTGTGGAAACTACTGCCTAAGCCTGAAAACGCTCCTGTAATTGGAACAAAATGGGTTTTCAGAAATAAGCTAAATGAGGATGGAAAGGTTGTGAGAAACAAAGCCAGATTAGTAGCTCAAGTATACTCACAACAGGAAGGAGTCGACTATGATGAAACCTTTTCTCCAGTAGCTCGGCTGGAATCAATACGAATTCTTCTGGCACACGCATCCTTTAAAAGATTTAGGCTCTTTCAGATGGATGTCAAAAGTGCCTTTTTAAATGGTTTCATTGAGGGAGAAGTATGTGTAAAACAACCTCCTGGATTTGAAGATTCAAAGTTTCCCTATCATGTGTACAAATTGACCAAAGCATTGTATGGACTCAAAGAAGCTCCACGAGCATAGTACGAAAGACTTAGCTCATTTCTTCTTGATCACGGATTTAGAAGAGGTAAAGTAGACACTTCCCTGTTTATTAAAGGATCATCAGAAGGTAATCTCATTATTCAAGTTTACGTTGATAATATTATTTTTGGTAGTGCTAATCCTCTTCCGTGCAAGGAATATTCAAATCTTATGCAAAGTGAGTTTGAAATGAGTATGATGGCAGAGCTAACGTTCTTTCTTGGACTTCAAATTCAACAATATGAAGAAGGAACATTTATATGTGAGACAAAATACACAAAGGAACTGATTCAGAAGTTCGGTATGAGTAGTGCTAAAGCTATTGGCACACCAATGAGTCCGTCAACAAGTCTTGATAGAGATGAACAGGGAAATCCTGTTGATGAAACTAAATATCGCAGAATGATTGGCTCCCTTCTTTATCTAACTGCTAGTCGACCAGATATTATGTTTAGTATTTTGTAAATGTGCCAGGTTTCAGTCAGCTCCTAAAGAATCACGTCTGACTGTAGAAAAGAGAATTATTCGATATCTCATTGGAACTGTTTATCACGCATTATGGTATCCACGCTCTAATAATTTTAAACTAGAAGGTTTTTCAGATGCTGATCTTGCAAGTGATAAGGAAGACATAAAAAGCACCAGCGGAACATGTCAATTACTTGGAAAAGCACTGATATCTTGGAACAGTAAAAGGGCAAGGATCACTTGCACTATCCACAATTGAGGCTGAGTATATGCCATTGGACAATGTTGTGCATAATTATTATGGATGTCTCATCAATTGGGTGACTATGAACTTCCAATTTTCTGTGATAACGCTAGTGCTATATATCTCTCAAAAAATCCTGTGCATCACTCTAGGGCCAATCATATAGACATCAAGTATCATTTCATTAGAGATCATGTTCTTAAGGGAAATATAGAATTATCTTTTGTTGGTACTACTGATCAATTAGCAGATATTTTCACTAAGCCTTCACTTGAAGATAGATTTTGCTTTTTCAGAGAATTATTTGGTATTATTTCCATTGATCATTAATATTAGGACCTATGTGATAATACATCTTGTATGCCTAATGTTTAAAATTTGCCTTTTCATAGTCGTTAATTGTGCCTCCGAATTCCCTCTCTTTTCCCATCAGTTGCAGCTTTCAAGAAAGGAAAACCAATCATCACGCCTGTTCAACTCACACCCTTTCCTTTCTTGTACGCAACCATTAGAACTCCCTTTTTAATCTCTGAAACCCTATTTCAATCCCCATCATTCCCATCGCCTAGAAACCCTCTCCGAAACTCTCTCCAAAACAGTTTACTCCATGGCTAAACGCTAAAAAAATCCATCAGCCTCCACCAGGAAAAGTACTCATTCTAGAGCAAAACCCTCTTCTCAGCCTCCTGAACAAGTAGACCTAGGGTCCGACCACTCAGATGATTTTGCTTCCTCTCAGGTAGAACTCTCAGATCATTCTCATCCTCTAGGAGAAAAAGCCCTAGGAAAAGGCCTTTAGAAAAGCCCCCTGAATCCTTTACTCCAATGAAATCCAAAATAGATCTTTCAAGTTCTTTAGAATCTGACCTAAATTTTTGGGATTCTCCAAACATGGATTTTTTCATTGCTCTGAAAGACAAGCCAATCGCTCATGGGAGAGTAGTCGACCTGGATGACATGGAAGCACTAAACTGTAAGGTAAAAAATCTGTTCGTTTATCAAGGTTGGTCAAAATTTCTATTTGTTCCCCCTCCTAAAGTCTATGAACCCCTGGTGAGAATGTTTTATGCCAATCTTTGCTCTAGTAAGTCTGATAAGTTGGAATCCTTAGTGTTAGGAAAGCGCATCGTTCTTGATTGTGCCATGTTTGACTCAATTTTTCTGTGTAAGTGTTCTGGTTTTCCCATGCTTTTCAAAAATTCTTTGCCTGATGACTTTGAAATCACCTTTGATCAAGCAAAACGTTGTATTGCTGAGTATTCATCTGAATCCCTCCCTAACCAGTTAGGTCCAAGTGATGTTAGTTTTGAAACTCATGTTCTATCTCACATTGTTGCAACTACTCTACTCCCTCGTACTGGCTCTTTCTCCACCTTCTCCCAACGAGATACCTTTCTTCTCTACTGCCTTGCGACCAAACTCAAGATCAAACTGTCCTCTTGGGTCATAAATTTTATGATTGAAAATGCTGATGATCCCACCAGTCTGGCCTATGGCATGGCCATCACTCACATTCTGGAAACTCACAATATCTCTATCTCTGTATATCCCTTCGTCTCTGTTTCAAAATCTTACAATTCTAGGACATTTGCTAGTATGGGGTATGTATGTGTGAATGGCTCCTGGGTTAAGAAACAGAAAGGTGAAGTCAAGCATGTTCAACCTGATCCCAAGACCAAAGCCTCTGTTTCTCATCACAGTCTTAGTAATCCTGACCTTGCTGAGAAACTGACTGCCATTAAAAACCAGTTGAACACCATCAAAGATCTTCTTGCTGCTACTCAGTCCACTGTTGGGGACATACATGCAATCTCCAAAGAGACAAGGTCTGATGTTTCAAAGATAAGGGTTGCAGTTCTCAGAGTTAGGGAAAATGCAGTCAAGGCATTCAAGGAAGTACACGACAGGCTTGATGGAGTGACCGTCTCAGCTAATGCCAGCTTTGAACAATTGAAGGAGGCGATTTGCAACACTCTTACTTATTTCTTTCGTCGTTAGTGTGGAAGTTTCAAACAATTTTTTTGTTGTGCTGTTTTGGACACGATAACCAGTCGTTAGATGATTTTTTTTGTTTTGCTACAACTCTACATGACTCTCATGCATCTTATTCTCTATATTTTGCTATATATTCTACTTTAGTATCTGGTGTATTCTTGTTTTTTATCCCCTCTTTGCCGATGTCAAAAAGGTGGAGAAGGCTATATATATATTTGTGAAGGTGCATCCATTGCAGGGGGAGTTGACTATAGATCCTACAAGAGAAGTCGACTAAAAGAAGTAGTCCAGTGGCACCTATTGAGGGGGAGTCAACTGCACTAGGGGGAGTAAAATACACGGAAGTTAACTGGTGTTTATATATATATATATATATATATATATAATTTTTTTGTCATCATCAAGAAAGGGGGAGATTGTTAGGTTTTAGTTTTAATGATGAAAAATAATATAATTGCGTTTGGTGTAGGACTCAAGGAAATCAGCCAAGATCGAAGTTCAAAAAGAGAAGCAATCAAAGCTGAAGGAAGAAATAAATCAAAGATTGATTGAAGCATTCAAAAGGATTGATTGAAGTAATCAAAGGAAAGGAATCGGTGTTACAAAAGGAAAAGAAGCACTGAAGATCCGACAACATAATCAATCAGAAGCTATTACTGGAAGGACCCAGATTTAAGGAGCAGATCCAGCAGCTATCAACACTTAAAGATGGAAAGCTGTCAAAGTCCACACATCAAGGAAGAGTAATGGGAATAAACCTTATTCTTGGAAAGAATCAATTTCTTCCAAGGATCAAATCTCTTGGGTTGGAAAATCTCTTCAGCTTCAACGGTCTCCTACAAAGTATTTATACGCAACCTTAAGAATTGGAGACATACTTTGATCGAACCATCTACACTCTTTTTGTTCTACTCCAAACAAGCATTATAGTTTCATTAGATCTGTTGTGTAACTAAGTGAGAGAAGAAAAGAGATACACTGGTGAGGCATTATATCAAGAAAAGAAAAAAGAGATATCGAGACTAAGTTATTGGTGTAAAGCTACGCCATTCAATCTGTACTCACGAAACAACGATCATTGAAAGAGAACACCCTTACAACCCAACGGGACTGGACTAGGATTCAAATTGAATCCGAACCAGTATAAAATTCTCGGTATCTTTACTTCCTGCATTTAAATTCGGCACTTACTATTATTATTATTATTATTATTATTATTATTATTATTATTATTATTATTATTATTATTATTATTATTATCTTATCCTTACCTCAAGTCGACTAATTATTGATCTATTCAACTATTGATAAAAGTTGTTAAAAATAAGCAATTCACGCCCCCTATTGTACTTTCATGATGCTTGTGCTTTCAAAGCCTGCTTTTATATTATGTTTTATCTGTCTGGTCCATGTGTTGGGAAGAGCGTGCACTTGGCAAAATTGGTGGTTTTTGACCAGCCGCAAATACACATTATTTTGTGAAAATTTTGTAATTATTTAATAAGTTATTTGTGGTGTGGTGTAGCCTCGCGCTATGACGTTAGAGTGTTAGAAATTATTTCTTTGTTGCCATGATTATTTGGGGCATTGTGTATGCCGCCGTGGTAGATTACGGACATTGTGTATGCTGTCATGGACTCGTTGGGGTGTTTGGTTAATTTCCTACACTGCTGTATATGACAAGTCCTTAGTGTAGATTGTGCTGCGATATATAATGTTGTTGTTAAATAATCATTTGTACCTTATAGAGTAATTATATGGTGAAAGAATTTTCTTGCATATATTTCTGTGCTTGTTGTATATTTGTATTTTCTAACACTTATTCCAGGGGTACTTAAAGTGGCGGTCAAGGATCATACTATGTTATATTTGCGTATAACTCATTCCTTACCTGCATGTCTATGCATATACAATTGTTGACGATGCAGCGGGTAGCTGATGAGTTCCCTAGAGTTGATCCAGTTATTGAGGTAAGCCCCCACTTTGTCCGTGGAGATTGCCGATAGAGTGTTTATTTATTTTATTTAGAATTTGTACGTGTAACGACCCGGCCGATCATTTTGAGAATTAACGCCCCGATCCCCTATTAATTGTTTCCCCCGTGTTTGTTTCTGCTATTGTGAGTTGGCGGAAGATTCGTTCTGAGTTTCGGAGTGTATTGGGACATTTAGTCCCTAAATGAGAGCTTAAGCTTTAGAATTTGGACCGTAGTCAGAGCGGTGTAAAGATGGCCTCAAAATGAAATTCCATCAATTCCGTTAGCTCCGTTGGGTGATTTCGGGCCTAGGGGCGTGTTCAGAGTGTGTTTTGGAGATCCGTAGCTTATTTAGGCTTGAAATGCCAAAAGTTAAATTTTTGAAGTTTCCGGATCGATAGTGAGATTTTGATATTGGGGTCGGAATCCGATTCCGAAAGTTGGAATAGTTTCGTAGTGTTGAATGTGACTTGTGTGCAAAATTTGGGGTCAATCGGACATGGTTTGGTTGGTTCCGGCATCGGTTGTAGAATTCTTGAGATTTCAAGTTCATTAGGCTTAGATTGGAGGGTGAATCATGGTTTTAGCGTCATTGGATGTGATTTGAGGGTTGAATTAAGTTTGTATGATGTTTTAGGATTGGTTGGCATGTTTGGTTGAGGTCCCGGGGGCCTCGGGTGAGTTTCGGATGCTTAACGGAAGTTGAATTTGACTTAGGAAATTGCTAAACTTTGTTGAACCTGTTGGTTTCGCACCTGCGGAGTTTGGACCGCAGGTGCGGCGCCGCAGAAGCGGTTAGGCAACCGCAGGTGCGGTCTAAGGCATAAGGGAAGTGGTCGTAGATGCGGCCCATGGACCGCAGAAGCGGAACCGCATTTGCGTGTAAAGGGCCGCAGGTGCGGATTTTGGCTGCTTAATGAAATTTCACAGGTGCGGGTCCCCAGTCGCAGAAGCGGAACCGCAGATGAGGCCCCATGACCGCAGAAGCGAAAATCGCTGGGCAGAAATATGAAAATCGAGGGTTTGAGTTCATAACTTGGAAAAATCAAATTGAAGCTCGGGGGAAGGCGATTCTGTGGGGATTTTGAAGAGAAGATCAGTGGGTAATGATTCCTAACTCCTTTTTGATTGTATTCCATTAACCTAAGCTTAAATTCATCATTTAATTTTGGATTTGGGGGTGAAAAATTGGGAGAACTGAGGAAAAGTTCTTAGGTCGAGTTTTGGGATTTTGATCGAGGTATTGGTATCGGATTTCAGTGATTTTGGTATAGTTAGACTCGTGAGTGACTAGGTGTTCATAATCCGTAATTTTTACTCGAGTTCTGAGATGTGGGCCCGGGGAGGATTTTTGGGCGTTTTTGTAATTTCTCGCCGTAGATTTAAATTTATTAGTTAAATTAGTTGCTTGTAGTTTTATTTACATTATGTAATTGATTTGATTAGATTTGAGCGAGTCGGAGTTGGATACTCGTGGCAAGAGCGTGATATCGGATTGATTTTGAGCTGGTTCGTGGTAAGTAGCTTGCCTAGCCTTGTGTGGGGGAACTCCCCTTAGGATTTTGGTCTTGTTGTTATATGAATGCCGTGTACGTGCGGTGATGAGTGCTTACCCGTGCTAGTTGTTGAAAAACCCTGTTTCATTAAATACTTATCTGTGTTACTCCTTTAATTGAGCAATACTAGCATGTGAAACCTTCTGTTTAGCTTAGGAAAAGCATGCTTATGTGACTTAACTGTCTTACCTGCTTTAGCTGCTTACTTGGATTTTTGTGTAGCATGTTTAGAGTAGAAATTTCCTGTTTTCCTGGTTAAAACTTGAATAGAATTGTAGGATTCCTTCTTGAAACTGTTGTATGTTTACTTTGGAACTACGGATCGGTATTTCGGGAGATCCTCCTGCACATTTATAATTGGGACTACGGGACGACATCCCGGGAGATCCCCCTGTACTGGATATTTACTTTGGGACTACGGATCGGTATTCCTTGATATTCCCCTGCATATTTATGATTCGGACTACAAGATGATATCCCGGAAGATCCTCTACACATTTACGTTTGGGACTACGGGATGATATCCTGGGAGATCCCCTGTTGCTATCTCTGTGCACTGAGTTATATTCTTTCTGTGATTTTATTCTTTATCGACTGTTAGTATTTTAATTATACTGTCACATTTCATACTGTTTACCTTGTTTTACATATATAACTAGTAGGGCCCTGACCTTCCTCGTCACTACTCGACCGAGGCTAGGCATGGCACTTACTGGGTACCGCTGTGGTGTACTCATGCCCTTTCCTGCACATGTTTTCGTGTGTAGATCTAGGTTCTTCTGCTCAGCCATACTATCAATGAGGCGAGGCGATTTTATAGACTTCGAGGTATATCTGCCGCGTCCGCAGACCGAGAAGTCCCTCTCTATTCTCTTTTTTAGCTATAGACCTTCTGTAATTTACTTTTGTTTAGACTTTTGGAGTTAGAACACTATGTATTTTTTCTAGTTTGTGATTCATGATATTGCGGGTTTTGGGAGTGTTATTATTGGTCGAGAGTGTTATTATTGTATATGGCGAGCGACATTTTAAACACTTTATCTATATTTACCTGTTAGATGGCTAGTTGTACTTTTAAATTCTTATTTATGCAAATTGTTCGGATTACCTAGTCGTAGAGACTAGGTGCTGTCACGACAGTTCACGGAGGGAGAATTTGGGTCGTGACAGGTTCGTATCAGAGCTCTAGGTTCATAGGAGTCATGAATCACAAGCCGATTTATTAGAGTCTCGCGAATCCGTATGGAGACTTCTGCACTTATCTACAATAGGCTATGTAACTGTTAGGAAATTTCTGGGATTTCTGGAGGAGTGCTACCGTATCCTCCACACTATGGGTATATCAGGATCTAATGGGGTTTCTTTTACTGCCTTGCTACTTCGAGGAGCAGCCTATCAGTGGTGGCGTACTTATGAGTTGGATAGTCCAGCTGAGGCAACTTCCCTTATATAGACCCAGTTTTCAGACATGT